TCTGGGTGAGGGAGAGAAGAGGGATATATTAGGAAAGAAGCTGATATAAAATCCAAATTTTTCCTTTTTTTCTTTTTCTGAAATTGAAAGGAAAAAAGGGGTGAGGGAAAAGCCAGTGACTGAGTGAATAACCAGTGAATGTACCCACCCTTTACTGGGGGGGAGTAGTTAAGGGGAGTAGGTTCACCTGCTCCACACCTGCCCTTGTGGTGTACTGTCTAACTATGATTCACAGTGCAAGGTGGACCAGACACCTATTAGGCGTCTCTATTAGGACTTCCTAATCCCTATTCCTACATACATAACTCCCCTCTCCCCGACACCCCCCACCCCTGCCACATGTGCTCACATACACACACATACACAGAAAATAGTGTTCAAACTTGGTAATAAGCAAGGATGTCAAAGAGGTCCTTGAGTTCAAAACAATTTGCTGACCCCTATATTAGACCTTGAGTAGAACCAGGCAGTTGGAAGAAATGGGAATGTTTAATCTGCAACCTTAAGGGGAACATGATGGCAGAACATGTAGTTTCTTCTGATATAATGTAAGTTCCTTGGAGGCAAGGATTGTTTTGTTTTTGTCATTGTATCCCCAATGCCTAATACATTGCCTGGCACAGAGTAGGTGCTTAATAAATGCTTGTCAATTGATTGATTGATTGAAGCATGCAAGGACTGTCACATGGGAGAGAGATTAGACTTATTCTGCTTGGCCTCTAATGTGAGGAGTAGGAGCCAAGGATGGTAGTGGCAAAGAAGCATATTTAGGTTTGTTCTTAGAGAAATTTTCCTAACAATTAGAATTACTTCAAAGTGGAGTGGGTTGCCCAGCCTCAGGAGGTAATAGGCTCTTCCTTGTTTGGGGTCTTTAAGCAAAGGTTGAATATTCATTCCCCAGGGTTGTTGAAGAAGACTTTGTTGTTCAGATGTGAATTGGGCTAGATGCCCTATCAGGTCCCTTCCCACTCTGATTTTATGATTCTAAGGACCCTTTCAGTTCTAAATTGTTGCTCATAGGATATCAAATATGTTTCTAAGGGTAACTTTTTCAAAGAGGAAGAAAAGACTGCAGAAGGGTACTAAGGATGCACAGAAGGAGAAGAGAAGGAAGATCAGATCGACAAGGGCAAAGGAAGCAGACAAATATACTGGAAGAGGAGGGACATTGAACATAGTCTCTCATGACTTTTCAATTTTGCTGGTCTTAACCTTGAGACTCAAACAAAAAGTCCATTGAGTTGCCCAACACTTAGTGCCTGATGACTAACTATATCAAATTAGAGTGGTAACCAGGGTGAGTGACTGGGACTTTGACACAGGGTAGAAAAATTAAAGGGTACTGACAACACTGCCCTAATTGTTGATCCATCCCCTACAAACACAGTGGGAGGCAGGAGATGGATGGCTCACCCTCTCAGTGCTTTATTCTCTACCTGCCCACCCCCTGAGAAAACCGTAACCAAGGATACTTCTTCTTCTCCTAACCTATGGTGATGTCCCAGGCACTAACCCCCAGGTGAAGCTATCCCTTACCCCCATTTTGCCCCATGTGCATTAACTGTTAATTGCAGTGTTTATCATTAGCACCAAAGAGGCAGAAAGCTACTCACATGGAGGAAGGGAGAGCCCAGAAGAACCATAACTTCATCTATTAGTCTCAGTAAAGTAACAAATGTTGGGTCTTGATAATCAAACCGGTCTCCAAAGAGCAGAAGAAAAGTGATATTGGTTGGTGCCATTTTGAATAGTTTCAACTTGAAAGGTTTACCTACAAGGCCAAAAAAACAAAAGCAAACAAACAAACAAACAAACAAAAATAACCCTAATACATTAGGAGGTACCAAATTCAGGTTCCCAAACAAACTTGTCTATAGCAAAAAAAAAAAAAAAAAAAAAAAAGATTGCAATCAAAGATCTCACCTTTGAAAGAGTCTATCAATCCTGCCAGGAAACTAAATTCTTCCAGAATCTTCTTCACCATCAGCATTTTCCCCATCCCAAGGTTATGCAAGCTAGACATGGTAAATTTGCGAGTGGTTTTCCATAGTTCCCCAGATGAGAAAAATATACCTGGGGGGTGAATGCATTGCAAGTTATTCCTTCACCAGAAGTGTCCCACCACCTCATTCCCCTTCATTCATCCCCTGCGAAAGTCCCCAAGACAGCCAAATACAATACACACACACACACACATTCAAGTAGGAGTCAGGAAGCTATCATTGCTGAAATAGGGCTTCAAAGACAAAGTTCCATGACCTGGAGACACACTTCTCTGAAGACATCCATCTATCTCCTGACCCAGAAGATGGTTTGAGGAAGGGGTCTAATGTTGATACTCTCCTAGTAGCTAGAGGCTTTTTAGGAGAAATTTATAACTAGAGCAGCAACTCATAAAAGCCCTATACTCTCTTATCTTATTAAATATCAATGCAGTCTCAGCAGATGGTATTGGAACAACTCATCATCCATCCATCCATCCATCCATCCATCCATCCATTCATTCATTCTTAAAGAGCTAATCTATGACAACCAACCCTAGCATAGCAGTACCTTATTGCTACTCTGCTATCCGACTTGAAAGGCTTTGAATTCTGTCAACCTTATCTATGGTTCTCTGACTCTGACTTTGGCTCCCCATCATTTCCCCTGCACCCTCAGCCCCATTACTCTCCCATTTTATCTTACCCAGGTTGACTTTCATCTGCTGTTTTCTACTCCCAACCAAGGAGCCTCTCAGCTTGTTCTTCCTCCTCCTTTTTCTGTAGCCTTAGAGAACCACAGACAGCAGCTCCCATTGAGCAACTCCTTCCCACAAGACAGCTGTGTTCAAATGTCCTCTGTTTTACTAATGGGTTGTATGACGCAGTACAAATCATCTTTATCACTGCTCTCAACATCAGCAGACATTTAATGAGTGCCAATTGTATGCAAGTTACTGTAAGAGTTGGGAGGGTATAAAAAGTCACTTAATTTCAATTAGTCTCAGTTTCTTCCTCTTCATCATCATCATCATAATGCTAAGCAGTATGGTATAGTAGATAGAGTGCTAAAATTGGATCCAGGAAGACTGAGTTTGAATGTAACCTCTGATGCTTACCACCTATTTAAGCAAGTCTGTTTACCTCTCTGGGTCTCAGTTCCTCATCTGTAGAATGAGAAGACTAGCTGACTGCTAAAGCCCCTTCCAACTTTCATTCCACGATCCTATGACTTACTATATGACTTTATGCCAATCACTTCTGAGTGTCCATTTCCTCATCTATAAATAATAATTGTTATTAGCATTATATGGCACTTGAAGAACTACAAATCAATCTGATATGTTATCTCTCATTTGATCCTTACTCTGAGATAAATGCTATTATTATCCTCAGTTTACAGATGAGGAAACTAAAGTGGAGAGAGATTAAGTGACTTGCCCTGGGTCAAACAACTAAGAAGTATCAGATCCAAGATTTGAACTCAGGTCTTCCTGACTCCAGGTCCAGTGCTCTATCCATTCACACCACCACCTAGATGCCTCTAGGGAGTGTATCCACTCCAAATGTTCACATAGACTATTTCTGCCTGACCTATGATAGAGCCTTCTGAGTGCATATTGGTCTGATCAGCCACAGTCAGACATATTGTATGTATCTTGACTCAATAAAGTGATGTCATTTTAGTCTTCTTTAAGAACAAAGGACAGTAAAGGGAGTATAATTCCTATAGTCCTGCCTTACAGAATTGGTTTGAAGCTTCGTGATTTCAATAAATCACTTTTCAGGCTTTAACAAAAATTTTTTTATTGATATCTTTGGTTTTTACATTACCTTTATTTCTTTTTCTTAATTTTAATTTTTAATTTATTCATTTTTTGGTGAGGCAATTGGGGTTAAGTGACTTGCCCGGGATCACACAGCAAGTAAGTGTTAGGTGTCTGAACCCAGATTAGAACTCAGGTCCTCCTGACTCCAGGGCCAGTGCTCTATTCACTGTGCCACCTAGCTGCCTTCATTACCTTTATTTCTGAACATATCCCTCTCCTGCCCAGAAATCCATCTCCTTTAGCAAAGAATAAAGGAAAGAAGTTCTGGAAAACTGACACATCACCCTAGCCTGGCAGTGTGTCTGATGCTTTGCATCCATGGTCCCCTTCCTCTACAACAGACCTGTGCGAGATACAGCCCACGGGCTGCTTGCGGCTCACCAAAAGATTTCAGGCAGCTCATGAAAAATGTAGAGGTTGTAAAAGAAAGTAAAGATGTAGTGTGTGCTTTGTCTGTGCCCTGCTTAACCCACCTTCCACTAGTCACTATTGTGCCCATCATGGCGGGTGGGTTGCCACTCCGTACTCTCTCCTGTTTGTCACGTGACTCATGGCAACCAACCATCATCAGTCTGTTTCTAGTCTGAGAGGAGCAAGAGTTGTTATCTTTTTGCTGTGTTTTCGGTCTTACTGGCGTTGAACAGGGACAAAGTGAGTGCAGCCACATGCCAACACAGTTGACATCCACTATTCAATGAGCAGCAACAAGGCAAGAGTTTCTTCCCCTCCCTCCCTGTGCAGCCGCCCTTCAAGTTACATGAGTGTCTGGTGCTCTCCAAGGTCAGACACTCAGTTCAGTATTTCTTTGTATATGCGCAGTTGCTGTGGAGATTTTTGGTTCTAACATTAAAGTTTTGGGGGTGACTTTGTAAAATGAGTGTGACAAAAAGAAATGGAAGATTGAATCAGGATATAGAGGAGTGGACAAATAGACACTTGTTTACTTACACGAGAGACAAAATATTATGCCTTGTTTACCAAGAAGTAATAACCATTCTGAAGGAATACAATCTTCGTCACCATTTCGAATCAAAACATCCTGACTTAAGCAAATTGGACACCAATGAAAAACAAATTAAACCATCCAAATTGTTGAAAAATCTCAGTGGAGAACAACAGTTTTTCAAGAAAGTAAATTCAGAAAATGAGGCAGCTACTAAGGTTAGTTTTTCAGATTTCTAAAGAAATTAATTTCAAACATGATTCTGGAATATGATAAACTGCTGACAAGAAGTATAATATGTCCCATTAACTAAATGTAAACAGTGAGAAAATCTGAAAAATATATTAAAAATTGTACCACTTAGAAAAGTAATTTTTTAATATTAATATGATTCCATGATAGATAAAAATCTTAAGTAATGAGTATAATTAATTGATATTAATTGAAATTTCCCTTTTTTAATATGGTTTATTTGCAAAATAGTTTAATCACTAATTATACCTTTACTGGGAAAGTGAATCACTAAAAATCTATCTACAGCCTGAAGAAGTTTAGCCTGTTTTAATTTTGGCACCTCCCTGCTGCCAAATTGTGCAGGTCTGCTCTACAAAAAAGGAAAGGGGCCATATTATAGACTGGGCCTGACTCTGGCCAGTCTGCCGGTAGTTTAGGTTTACGATATTGCTCCTACTACAAGGCACTTTCTCATATTTCTTCTTTGAGTCATTATAATTTGGTCATTATAATTACAGGGTTAAGTTTGAGGGGTTTTTGATTATTCTTTCCACTTAGACTGTTGTAGTCAGTGTATTATTTTCCTGTTCCTGCTTCACTTTGCAAACTTTAAAGTGCATTGTTGTTATTATTATTGTTGCTGTTATTACTATTGTACTGGCTGCCTCACAGGGTTTGATGAAGATTGCATGAGATGATACATGTTCAAAGCTCTTTGAAAGGGATGAAGCTCTGTCACAACACAAAATAGTATTGTAAAAGAACCCAAAATCATTTTCTTCCATTTATTTTATTTATTTATTTATTTTTTTTGGTGAGGCAATTGGGGTAAGTGACTTGCCCAGAATCACGCAGCTGGTGAGTGTTATGTCGTCTGAGGCCAGATTTGAACTCAGGTCCTCCTGACTCAGTGCTCTATCCACTGTGCCACCTAGCTGCCTCTTTCCATTTATTTTCAACCCAGTCTTTCATTTTTTTGAGAATCAACATATATATGTGTATACATGTACACACACATACACACACATATGCATATATGCAAATATATGCGATATATAAAACTCTATATGTACACATTCATATGTGTGTATATATATATATACACACACGTGTGTATATCCCTAGGCCTGAGGGCACATGCTTAATTGCATGGCCATACTATGCAAAATTATGAAAGCAAAATAGGAGCAAATGGTTGCTCTGAGAGACAGTTGCCTTGGCTGACTTGGGCACTTGGGTGGGGGGAGATACATCTGGGAGGTTCTCCTCTTCCTCCCACCCCCATCATGCCCAGTGAGGGTCAATGTTGTCTTAACCACATACCCTGGCCTTCCTGGATGCACTGGAATATGGGAATGGGTGGTCGGTCAGCAAACTCCTCGGCAAAGTTGACCAGTGCCTCTCTTACAGCCTCGTAGCCAGTCAGCACCACCATCTTCTGGAGACCAAAGTGAATGGTGAAAACGGGGCCATATTCCTCTGAAATCTGGGGAGGGGGCACAAGGGTCATGCCATCAGTGCTCATCAGTGGAAAGAAAAAGGTGGTTAAGTCATATAATACACAGGTTTATAAATGCCTTCTCTGATTAAACTGACTAAATTGCAAATTGTGGAAAACATCACAAAAGATTAGAATTGGAAATTACCATAGAGACTATACTGTCCAGCTCCCTTGTGTTAAGCAAAGCTGGGTCTCTGGATTCTCAGGCCAGAATCCCTTCCATAATATGGTATTGCCTCTCAGTAATCACTTAACAAATGTACACCCAGTGGAAAAATGTCCCAACGATGTCTTAGGGATGCAATAAGTCAGTAATGTGGCCAGAAAAGGCTGAACTAGTGGTCAAGAAAGGCTTGGATTCAAATCCTGCCAGAGTTGACCAATGCTTCTTTCACAGCCTCATAGCCAATTTGCACCACCATATTCTGGAGACCAAAGTGAATAATGAAGATGGCACCATGTTTCTCTAAAACACGTGCAGGGGGAAACAAGGGTGCCCCTGACCCCAGGGAAAGTCACTTAACCTGTATGTGCCTCAGGCAACGCCTAGGATTTATCTACCAAGTCATATGTAGGTTGTGTTGGTACTGGTGGAAAGAGTCTCCACACCAGGATGGTATAGTAGAAAGAATGCTCACTTTGTAATCAAAAGGCCACAGTTCAAATCACAATTCTGCCACTTACTACTGACATGAGGTTAGACAAATGATTTAAACTCCCTGGGCCTCAGATTCCACATCTGTAAAATCAAGGAGTTGGACTAGATGGCCTCTGAGATTTCTTCTAGATCTATGATCTTATGATCTAATTACATATCCTTCAATTATTTGGAGAATTTGTGACAATTTAAAATTTTCAGTCAAATATTCAAAGTCCACCCTGCAGACTTTTTTTTTTTTTTTGGTCTAGGCAATAGGGCTAAGTGACTTGCCCAGGGTCACACAGCTAGTAAGTGTTATGTGTCTGAGGTCGGATTTGAACTCAGGTCCTCCTGAATTCAGGGCCAGTGCTCTATCCACTGCACCACCTAGCTGCCCCCCTGCAGACTTTCTAAGAGACCTCCAACCATTCATTTACTTTTGTTGAATCCCCTACTGTCTAAGGTTTGATGCTTAATAAATGCTGCTTTTTTTTTTTTTTTGGCCAGATCTGGGTCAACACTCTCCTCCAACTTTTGCATCCTCAAGGAGATGAGTGTCTGTTTCTGTCCTCTGTCTCTGAGAATGAGGCTTGATACAGAAGGACGGTGGGGGGAACAGGACCGGCAGGTTGAGATTAGAAGCTCGGAAGCTGAGATTTCAGACCTTCCCAGGAATGGGTGCTTCAGTATAAGATTTTAAAACCAACATTGTTCATTTCCCTTTCACTACAGTAAAGGATCCAAGTTTCATGCTCTCCCTGAGAGCAAGGAATGAACTCTTTTTTCTCATTTTTATTGATTTGGAGGCTTGGTGAGGTTGTTTTTTTTTTTTAAATAACACCTTCATTTCCAAGTATATCTGTCCTCTATCATCCCCCAGAAGTCATCCCTTATAGCAAAGAATTAAAAAGAAAAGGAAAAAACAAACAGTTCAACAACACTAACCAAAGCTTTAACACAATCTGATGATATAACAATATATTCCATACCCAGGAAGGGAGGGACATTTCCTCAGCTATCCTTCAGGGCCATCCTTGGTGATTCTAATCACATGGTGTTCAGTTTTGTTTTGTTCTTTATGTTTTTTGCTGATATTTTGGTAGTCATTATGGATATTTTTCCTGGTTCTATTTACTTCACTTCCTATAAGTCTCTCCATGCATCTCTGTAGTCTTCACAAACATCATTTCTTACTTACTGCATAGAAATATTTATTACATTCATGTACCACAATTGGTACATGCATTTCCCAATTGACTTTGTTTCTAATTCTTAGATACTACGGACAGTGAGGAGCAGATTTGAAAAAATGATTGTGATTCAGCTTTAGCCAAATGTCTTCTAGTCTTTATATGAAGTGAACAATACATTATAGACATAAGAAATTGAGATTAGAATCTTCATAGGATGACAGTGAACATGGACCAAATAAACTATGAGTTATTATCATTAGGTAACTCATAGAGAGGTAGTTCAGCTTAGTGTCTAGAAAGTCAACCTCATAGGCAGGAAGACTTCGGTTCAGGTATTGACTCTGACACATATGGGCTATGTGGCGTTGGGAAAGTCACTCAACCTCTCAATTTTCTAAGCAACTTTTTAAGACTATAAGTTCCAGGAAAGGTATTGACCTATATTGGTAGAGGTGAGGCAATTGGAGAGAGCTTTGGATTTGGAGTCAAGACAATCTAATTTCAATTCCTGCCTTAGACACTTACTAGTTTTGTGACTCTGGGTAAGTCACTTAACCTCAGTTTCCTTATCTGTAAAAATGGGAATAATAAGAGTATCTGCCTCCCAGATTTGTTGTGAGGATCAAATGAGATAATATTTATAAAGTACTTTGCAAACCTTAGAGGTCTATAGAAATGCTAGCTATTATAATTATTAATTATTGTTATTACTGTTGTTAGTTTCCTCACATGTGGATTTCCTATATGAATGAAATCACAGGTCCATTCTCTATGCCTGTTCATACTTGGGCTTGGGTGCTAACAGGAAAATCTAAGATGTGAGAGACCCAGGAAAGTCCCACTTAAGCACGGACAAAGGGACTGAAAGAAGAACTCAGGACAGGAAGCTGCTACAGCTACTATCAGAGCTCCATATATTGGATCACAGATAGAACTAGAAGGGAACTAAAAAGTCACATAATCCAGGGGTATATTGACTTAGAATACCACAAATTAACATTATCTATGTTGTGTTGTATTTTTATTTATTTTGTTAAGTTGTTTATCTTTTCAGTCATGTCCAACTCTTCATGACCCCTTTTTGGCAGATTTTCTTGGCAGAGATACTGAAATAGTTTAACATTTCCTTCCCCAGTTTGTTTTACAGATGAGGAAACTGAGACAAATAGGATTAAGTGACTTGCCCAGGGTTACACAGCTAGAAAATGTCTGGGGCCAGATTTGAACTCATGAAGATGAGTCTTCCTGATTCCAAGCCTAGTGCTCTGTCATCACCTAGCTACTCTATTTTGTTAAACATTTTCCAGTTACATTTTATTCTAACTCCAGTGACACTCCAGAGTTTTGCAGAAGTTTGGGGTCCTCTAATAGCAAGTTTGACACCTCTGAAATCCAATCCTCTTATTTTTACAAATGAGGAGACTGAGGGACAGAGAGGTTAAGAGACTTTCCTGAGGTCACACAAGGATTAAATGGCAGGGCTGTGATTTGAACTTAGGTCATCTAGCTTCAAATCTAGTATTCTTTCCACTATGCCAGCTGCCTTTCCCCTCTTTGTGCTCACATAAAGCAGTTATTCCTACAGAGTGATACATCACCTGCTTTATAGAAAGCTGTAGCTAGATGAGACCTTAGTTTCTAGTTTATCTAGTTCCATTTCACAGATAAGAATACTGAAGGGTGGGCCACACTCAGTGGCCTGCTTATCAGTGTCAGAGCCACATCTAAAATCTGGTTCCCCAGCCCCCACAACATTGCTTTTTCCACTACATCACAAGTGATCTTCTTGTTCCATTTTAAATGGCATCGGTTTCAGAATGTCTGTTTACAAATCAGCTATGAATGAATTACATGTTCAGGGATGAAGAGGTGGTTGAAATTAGAGTGGTCCATGGTAAATAGAAAGCTGGGGTTGAAGCCAGGAAGACATGTACTAGTTGTCTGATCTTGGGCAAGCCTCTCTCTCTTTTTAAAATAGTATTTTATTTTTTCAAATTACATGTAAAGACAAATTTTAACATTCATTTAAAATAATTTTTTTGAGTTCTAACTTTTCTCCCCCCACACTTCTCCCCTTCCTAAGGCAATAAGCAATTTGATATAGGTTATATATGTACAACATGTAAACCATATTTCCATTTTAGCTATGTTGTGAAAGGAGAAACAGAAAAAAAGAAAAAAAATTTAAATAGTGAAATTAGTATGCTTCAATCTGCATTCAGACTCCATTAGTTCTTTCTCTGGAGGTGGATAGCATTTTTCCTCATGAGTCCTTTGGAATTGTCTTGGATCATTATATTGTTGAGAAGAGCTAAGTCATTCACAGCTGATCATAATAGGATGCTGCTGTTACTGTGTACAATGTTCTCCTGGTTCTGTTGCCGATCAGTTCATGTAAGTCTTTCCAGGTTTTTCTGAAATCTGCCTACTTGTCATTTCTTATAGCACAATAATATTTCATTACAATCATATCCCACAACTTGTTCAGTCATTCCCCAGTTGATGGGCATCCCCATAATTTCTGATTCTTTGCCACCACAAAAAGAGCTACTATAAATATTTTTGTACAAGTAAATCCTTCCCCTCCCCACCTTTTAAAATTTCTTACAGACACGGATGAAGTAGTGGCATTGCTGGATCAAAGGGTATGCAGTTTTATAGCCCTTTGGGCACAGTTCCAAAATGCTCTTCAGAATAGTTGTATCAGTTCACAATTCCACCAACAATGCATTAGTGTCCCAACTTTATCACATCCCTTCTAACATTCCCCATTTTCCATTTCTGGCAATCTGTTAAGTACCTCAGAGTTGCTTTAATTTGCAATTCTCTAATCAATAGTTATTTGGAGCATTTTTTCATATAAGTCATTTACTTTCTTAGCACACTAGGCAACTCTCTAAGATTAAGTCGCAGAGAAGGTATTGACCTGCCTTGTTAGACAGAGTTTTCTCACCTGGGTGTTTCTTGTGCCAATTAAATCACAGGTCTAGTGCCTATCTCTCTCTTGGAACAAGAAAAAAGTTGATGAAAGATTGCTTTGGCAACATGAGTATGTGTGTGGGGGGATATAGGTATGAGTGTGGGTGTGACGGGAGACATATCAAGGAATAATGAGACTGATGAGACTGAAAAAGGTTAAAGTGGGAGTCAAT